TTGCCCAAAAGGAAAGCAACCTTACATTAACCAACTCACTTTGCCGAGTATGACTTCCCTTATTCCTGCTCCCTTCTGCCTAGAAAAGCCCTTCATTTTGTACAGTGTTAGGCAAGCACTTGGTATTCATTGCCGAAAGGCTTTTCTGAAAGAAAGCGTTCAGAGAGCCACATGATGGCCAGCAAAGGACCAGGTTCTGGACCATGATGTCTGAACCACCAGCGGCAGCAGCACTAGGTGGAGAAGGTGACATGTCCACCACCATGGAGTTGACGGGCACTTTTACATATTATGTTTGGGTCGGGGGGAAGATATAAGTTGTTATGAAATAACTAGAGGCCCGGTGCCCGAAATTCATGGAGGCGTGAGTGTGTAGGGGTTGTCCCTCAGCCCAGCCTGCACCCTTTCCAATCTGGAACCCTCAAGGGATGTCAGACTGCTCATTTTGGCCCGATCCCACACTGGGTAGTAGGACATTCCTCTCACAATGCAGGACTCCTGGCTCCCAACTGCTCACCTGACTACCCCTAACCACTTCTGCCTGCCAGCTTGATCACGCCCTAACCACTCCTATGCCAGCCTGATTGATGTATAACTGCTTCCCTGCCAGCCCGTTTGCCCCCTCCTCTGTTGGCCTGGTCATCCCTAACTGCCCTCCCCTGCAGGGTTGATCGCCTTCAACTGCCCTCCCTTGCAGGCCTGGCCCCTCCCAACTGCCCTCCCCTGCTGACCATCTTGTGTTCACATAGGGGCAGAATCTTTGACCACATAGGGACAGCTATCTTGATCTTGTGTATTGGAGTGATAGTCAATCTGCATATTACTCTTTTATTAGATAGGATAGAGGCCTGGTGTATGGGTGTGGGCCAGCTTGTTTGTTCTGAAGGGTGTTCCAGATCAGGGTGGGGGTTCCCTAGGGGCGTGGGACAGCCTGAGCGAGGGGCCTGTGGTGGTTCGCAGGCTGGCCACACCCTCCACTAACCCAAGCGAAGGCCCTGGTATCTGGGATTTATTTACCTTCTACAACTGAAACTTTGTAGCCTGGAGCAGAGCCAAGCATCTTGCTCACCCCGTGGCAGCAGCCGTTCTGTTTGGATTTGTTTACCTTCTATAATTGAAACTTTGTAGTCTTGAGTGGAGGCTTAGGCCGGCAAGGGCAGGCAGAAAGCTTGGCTTCCTCCATTGCCGGGGAAACACCTCCCTCCTGCTCTCTGTGGCTGTAGCCATCTTGGTTGGATTTACTTGCATACTTGCTCTGATTGGCTGGTGGGCATGGCTTGTGGAGATGAGTGATGGTTAATTTGCATATTACTCTTTTATTAGGTAGGATGGCATAAATACCATTTCTTGGGGTCTTCATCTCAATAAACCTCCTGTGTCACATAAAACTTGTATTTCATCAATTGGTATGCCTTTTTTCTGTTAATCTTTCTTGGTTTAATTTTGAGACCCAACAGGCACCCTAAAAAGTCCAGGAAAACTTTTTTCTCCTCTATACTCTGGTCTGTGTTATGCAAGGAATGGGAGCAAATCATGCTTTTGAGTTCCAAAGGCTCTGTGATACTAACCTTTAAATGATAAGGATTTTACTCTTTGAAAATTCATATAGCAATGGAAATAGCAGGAGGTCATAGTCAGATAGAACCTGCAGCATATCTCTGGTTCGGTTCTAATTGAGCAAATGATTAAACCTTAAAGCTTTTTGAATGACATGGGTAAAAATGAATCATGAAAATCATGTTGACTTCCAATAAATGCAGAGAAAATTCAATAAATGAAGAGCATCTGCCTCATAGCAGGAACTTAATAATTATTAATTCCTTCTCACTAATAAAATAAATATATACCTGAGAAATAATCATGTTCTAAGATTTAAATGATCCACCTATCATGTTCTAAATAACCTTCTTGGTTTGCCCAGAACCTTACTCTAGACTTTGGGAAATGTCAGTGGTCTTTTTTTGTTTTGTTTTTTTTTAAAATATATTTTATTGATTTTTTACAGAGAGGAAGGGAGAGAGATACAGAGTAGAGAGTTAGAGACATCGATGAGAGAGAGTCATCGATCAGCTGCCTCTTGCACGCCCCCCCTACTGGGGATGTGCCTGCAACCAAGGTACCTGCCCTTGACCGGAATTGAACCCGGGACCTTTCAGTCTGCAGGCCGATGCTCTATCCATTGAGCCAAACCAGTTTCGGCTGCCAGTGGTCTTAATTCAGCATCTAAAAAGGGGTCAGGTCCCCAAATGCTTTCCAAAATTAAAAACAAACAAACTACAAAACATAAAAAGGGGTCAGGAATCAGGAGAAGCACTGTGTGTAAATTAATCAAGAGTCTGGAGACGAAACATAATTTTGGAAGGCATTTGGGGGCCAAAGAAGCTTGACTAAAAAAACCAGTTCTCTCTTGTCTCAGGAACCCTTGCTTTTTATTAACACAAATTGTCCTAAGGCATATCAAATGTAGATATACATATCAAATGTCGAGTTTAGCACACAGAATCCATTGTCAGATTGGAGGAATTGCCTTTGGCTGTTCAGGTGTTTGGCCAGTAGAGAGCAATAACATGTACATTGAAATACCCTTAGCTGTCTGGCAGCAAGCAATCATTTGTGCATCCTTTTCAGGTTTGGGGAAATGTCTTCAGGCACCTCTAGATGATTCAGCCCTGCAGACATGCTGGAATTGGCTTCTGGCAGGGGAAAACATCAACATTTGGGGACAAATGGTCGAAAAGAATCTTGATTCTATGAAAGATTTAAGAAATACATATGTAATCAGTATCCAATTTGTCTCTCTGATCTTTGAACATGATTTTCCTGTCATTAAACAATGTGTAACCGATAAAAAAAAAAAAAAATACACAGAAAGTTGCTGGACAATTTAAAAAAAAAAAAAAAAAAAAAAAAAAAAAAAAAAAAGGCCAGCAACAATAGCAAAACTGGTTAAGAAAGGCAGTTTTCTACTTGGAAGGCTGGTAGAAGCTGTGGAAATTCATCTTTATAACTATTAATTTCATGTAGAACAATTTTTTTGAATGATATGTGTTGTGCAGTTACACATGAAGACATATAATGTTGGAATGGAAACAGCTTATGGAAGTCCAAGAAAAGACATGCACATTGGGAAGTACAGGTCCACACCAGGTCTAACTGAATGGTCCCAAATGCCACCGCAGGCTTCTGACGGAGCGGAAGGCCAGGCTGGAGATAGCCACCTCTCCTATGGACCCTTACTCCTTTTCCGCTCTCTGTCACCGAGCAGCAGCCTCCTCAGAGCTCCCTTCACCTCTCTGTTGCGCAGGGTGTAGATCAGGGGGTTCAGGAGCGGGGTGACGATGTTGTAGAGGAGCGTGAGGAACTTGCCCTGGTTCTGGGAGGAGTTGTGGCCCGGCTGCATGTACATGTAGATGATGTTTCCATAGAACAGGGAGACCACTGTGAGGTGGGAGCCGCAGGTGTTGAAGGCCTTTTGTCTCCCGGATGCTGACTGTATTCGTAACACAGCCCTGACGATGTAGCCGTAGGAGACCAGGATGTACACCAGGGGTGACAGCACAATGCCCACGGCCAGAACAAAGACAGTGCCCTCGATCACAGCCGTGTTGACACAGGCCATCCGGATCAGAGCAGGCATCTCACACAAGAAGTGGTCCACACTACGGTGCCCACAGCGTGGTAAGTGCAGGGTGACTGGGGACATGGCCAGGGAGTTGGCCACACCACAGCCCCAGGCCAGAGACACTAAGCCCATGCAGAGGCGAGGCTTCATAATTACCATGTAGTGCAGGGGATGGCAGACTGCAACATACCGGTCATATGCCATGACGGCCAGGAGCAAACACTCTACACCACCCAGACCCAGGAAGAGAAACAGCTGGATGGCACAGCCTATGTAGCTGATGGTCTTGTCATGCCCACTGAGATTATAGAGTAGCTGGGGGATGGAGCTGGTGGTGAAACTGAGGTCCAGGAAGGAGAGGTGGGTGAGGAAGAAGTACATGGGGGTGTGGAGGTGGGAGTCCAGCCGGGACACCAGAATAATGGTGGTGTTGCCCACAATGGTCAGGAGATATGCAATCAAGATGACCACAAAGAGGATCTTCTCCAAATGGGGGTGGTCAGAAAATCCCAAAAGGATGAAATTTCCCTGAGCACTATTGTTGGTTCCTTCCATTTCTACTGCACCTGAAGAAGAATAGCAATACTAATAATGGTCACAGACAATATAAGGCAGCACTTTCTGTGAGCCAGGGATCCCCTATGCTTTTTACAGTTACTTGCAGCCAGCCACTGCTTGCCAACACTGTCAGTGCACCAAGAACTTGGAAACTGATGGACCTTGGGCATTAACAGGACTGAGGCTAAGCATCGATTGTTCCTGTTGAGATAGTGGTGGCTCAAGGCAATGCCCTAACCTGATAATCCTTTTACTGTTTACCAAAGTTTACCTTTGATATGCCTGTATGCATTGCTAAAGGGAAAATGTGTATTCAAGTAAATAAAAAGCAGACAGGCCAGAGGTCAGTGTGCTCTTCATGAAAGAGACACCACCTGGCCCCCACCCCTTAATAATTCATATTTCTTGTCTAATGTTTTCATTTGTGTGTCAGCCCCTCCTTCAGATCCTGAATCCAACCGTGCAGGTTGCTGCAGTTATTTACTCATTTAACTCCCAACATTTACTCATTTAACAGCAGTGATATGGAGTTGGCAGTCTTATTAACCCACATTTACAGAAAAGGCAACAGAGGCAGATGTATTTTAAGCAAATGACCATATTCTGGAAAAAGGCAGTGCTGATTAGAACCAAGGAAATTGAGCTCAGAGTCTTCGTCCTATGCTGCTGGCACCGCTTATCATTTTAATGACAGAAACTGGTCCTGCCATGGCCCTGCCACTGATTTTCCTTAAAACACAATTGCCTGAGCTCCTGCTAAAACCTCAAACATCCAAAATGGAACCCCAGGATAATGAATTAATAGAATGCAGAAAACATGCATTATATGAAGAATATTTTATTTGTTCTTTACCTCAAGGACACATCTCATTCATTTGACCATTATTCTTGAGGTAATTTTAAAGTACCCAAATAAATAAATAACATATGAGATAATTGAATATTACTAAAGCAACATACACATAAAATTAACATCTCCTTCTCAATTGGGTCTGATTTTTATGAAATTAAGCATGTATATTTTTTCTTCTAAAGCATAAACTGCTTGAGGAAAATAAGACCACAACATGTAAAGTAACTTTAATGCAGTAATTTACATACATGTGCAGAAACCTCTATCCAATTGCAATGCTCAGAGTTTATCACATTCAAACAAAGCATGTTTGAAGACCTAGCACACCAGTCTTACAGACAACACAGAGGAATCGATTGAACACGTCAAGCTACAGCCCCAGCCCGCCTGCCAACAAGATACAATGAGGAACCCGCAGAAAGCTCTTTGGCTTTTACAGTTTCCTCATCGAAAATGGTAATCATCGAGCTACCTTATTTACTTTATAGATATGTTTTGATATTTTTTAATTTAAAAGTTGGTAAATAGGAAGGTATGTTGCATAAAGCTTATGTGTCATATACACAGGAAATGGGAAACTAGTCTTATGTGTCTAGGCAGAGAAATTCTACATTTAACATATATTCAAACATACTTTGAAAACATAATAAACCATGGTAAATGGGGGGCACTTGGAGCTGGGAAGTGTGAACCACTCATTCACCACTTGCACCAAAACAAATAACAAACCAAATATTTAAACATTAAATATAACTATTGTAAGAAAGCACAAAAGTCGTTCCTGATCATTTTGAATTTAGATAGGTCTCACCAGGCAAATTGCAGTTCTCAAAAGCAATAAAGCAAAATACAGCTAAAATTTCATATTTTTTAATATATCTATGTAATAAGAAACACCACTAAAAATATAAAGAATCATAAAAATACTAGAGAAATTCAACATGACCATTGAACGGCTACCTTTCTAATATTTTTAAGAAATTGGCAAGAAAATAATGAAACAAAATAAAAATGACTAATGAAAGATTTTTTTAATATTGAAGACTGAGGAGTTTAAACTCCCAAAATGTGTGGCTGCAATGATGGTCGGCAAGAAACAGGACCGTGTTTTCAGAGCAGGGCTATGCTCTGCATCTTCCTAGCGAAGAGGGACACCTCTCCATCACACCCTCTGCTGATGGTAACCTTTTCAATGCTTTCCCTTAAAAAAACAACGAAACTCACATCTCAGGTCTCCTTTCCTCACATGCACGTGACAAACCTGTCTTTCTTAACAAAACAAACTCCAGTCCCAACATAAAAAAATAATAGCTTTCATTTTGTGTTCCTTCATACTTTGTCTCTTCAGCACTTTTATATCTCATCTTTTAAAAATCACTTGGCACTAGTAAATTGGATTTTTTTAAATGAAGTAGCAGAAGCTGTGATGGTATGTGTTTGTGTATAGAGTTGTGTGTATCTGTTATAATACAGTATAAGTGTATCTGTCACAATCCATACATTTTCCAATAGCAAAAGGTGTGTTCCTCATTTTCTGTTCCTTTGAGGCATTCCATAAGGCTTTTTAAATTGTTGACAGTATTACAGATGTCCCTCAATTTTTCTCCCCATTCGCCCCCTCCTTCCAGCCCCTGCCCCACTCCAGGCCTTCACTCCACCATTGTTTGTGCCCATTGCTTAAATTCTTTGGTAAATCTCTTCCCATCTCTTCCCCCCAAGTTTTGTTCCTTGTATCCTCTGGACCTATTTTGTTGGTCAGTTTATTATGTTCATTAATTCCACAAATAAGTGAGATCATGTAATATTTGTCTTTCTCTGGCTGCCTTATTTCACTCAGCATGATATTCCCCTGGTCCATCCATGCTGTTGTAAAGGGTAAGAAATCCTTCCTTTTTATAGTGGCCTTTCAATGTAACAAGCCAATAGAGAAGTGCAATTTACAGATTGAGTTCCTCAATCCAGAAATCTACTCACAGTGTTTACTTCTGTGCTACCAGTTCCATGAAAAGTCAGACGTGGGAAGGTGCAGATCGAGCTGGAGGACCTCCACGCCCAGATGTCTCCTCCTCTCCTGGGTTCAGGCAGATGCTCTACCGGGTATAACTGTGCATGTGGAGGAAAAAAACGCACCTCTCCTGGCTGTAGCCCAGGACTCGCAAATGCAATGGACCGTGGTGCTTGTGCAGGTGCATGGCAATGAGCCCCAGTGACACCGCTGTCCTGAAAGAAGAGTGGAGAGAGACCCTGACGGTGACCTGGGGCCATCCACAGCCCCAGGCTCCAGGGCAACGTCTGCACCCTCAGGGCTCATTAGTGCCTACGCTGAGGTGTGCCCCCGGCGTGCACCACCACAAATCCCACAGGCTCCAGGCAGCAAATGAGGACCATGAGAATTTGTCCCTTGATGCCATAAGGATTTATTACTTCACAAGAGCAAAGTTGGGACTCTCGCCACTGGTATTCTATATACTTTTAATGTAAGTACTACTGGGCCATTTGTTCCCTTCCCTGCTCCCAGGAATTGTTATATGTGGCCGAAACCGGTTTGGCTCAGTGGATAGAGCGTCAGCCTGCGCACCAAAAGGTCCCGGGTTCAATTCAGGTCAAGGGCATGTATATTGGTTGCGGGCACATCCCCAGTAGGGGGTGTGCAGGAGGCAGCTGGCCGATGATTCTCTCTTATTGATGTTTCTAACTATCTATCCCTCTCCCTTTATGTGAAAAATCAATAAAATATATTAAAAAAAAAGAATTGTTATATGTGTAAATATCAATTGAGGCATAATTGGTCCCATCCTACCTGGAACAGGATCATGATGGTTTTTTTTGTTTGTTTTTTGTTTTTTTTTCTTCTTTAGATCTACTGAAAATAAAGAAATGTTTTGACTTATTTATTTATTTATTTATTTATTTATTTATTTTTTTACTAAGAATTTTATGGATAAAAATAAGTAACTATTGTCCTAGATAGTGGAAAAGCAGTTTTGGGTACATTGATTAATGTTGTTACAAATTTAAGGAACTAACAGGGTGAATTATTTTATTTTATTTACTTATTTAGTTTTATTTTTGGATTTGCAAGGAAGATGTCATCATATGTCAGTTCAAACTTCTTTTTAATCTCTATTTACTTTATTTCTTTTTATATTAAACTAGCAGCCCAGTGCATGAAATTTGTACACAAGGTGGGGGTGGGAGTTCGTTCCTCAGCTCAGCCTGCACCTTCTCCAAATCTGGGACCCCTGGCTCCCAACTGCTCACCTGCTGGCTCAGTCCAGGACTGCTGGCTCCCAACTGCTCACCTGCCTGCCTTCCTGACTGCCCCTAACCGCTTCTGCCTGCCAGCCTGATCACCCCCTAACCACTCCCATGCCATCCTGATTGATGTCTAACTGCTTCCCTGCCAGCCTGTTTGCCCCCAACTTCCCTCCTCTGCAGGCCTGGTCACCCCTAACTGCCCTTTCCTGCAGGGTTGATCACCCCCAACTGGCCTCCATTGCAGGCCTAGTGCTTCCCAACTGCCCTCCCCTGCTGGCCATCTTATGTCCACATGGGGGCAGCCATCTTTGACCATGTGGGGGCAGCCATCTTGTGTGTCAGAGTGATAGTCAATCTACATATTACTCTTTTATTAAATAGGATAGAGACCTGATGCATGGGTGGGGGCCAGCTGGTTTGCCCTGAAGGATGTCCCAGACCAGGGTGGGGGTTCCCTTGGGGCATAGGGGTCCTGTGCTAGGGGCCTGTGAAGGTTTGTAAGCTGGCCACATCCCCCCGGTGACCCAAGTGGAGGCCCTGATATCTGGAATTTATTTATCTTCTACAATTGAAACTTTGTAGCATGGAGTGAAGGCCTGAGCAGGCCAGGGCTGCAGAATCTTGGCTTCCTTCATTGCCTGTGGCAACCCTTGCCTCCTGCTCTTCCAGCTCAGTGGCTGCTGCCATCTCTGTTGGAATTTATTTACCTTCTATAATTGAAAGTTTGTGTCCTTGAGTGGAGGCTTAGGCCCACCAGGGTGTGTGGAAAGCTAGGCTTCCTCCATTGCCAGGGAAACCCAAGCCTCCCTCCTGCTCTCTGTGTCCTCAGCCATCTTGGTTGGGTTTAATTTGCATATTTGCTCTGATTGGATGGTGGGCATGGCTGGTGGGTGTGGCTGATGTAGCAGAGTGATGGTTAATTTGCATGTTACTCTTTTATTAGATAGGATTTACTGGGTGAAATTGGTTAATAAAATTATATAGGTTTCAAGTGTACAATTCTATAAAGCATCATCTCTATATTGTATTGTGTGTTTACTACCACAAGTCAAATATTCCCTCACCATGTATCTCCCATTTTACCCATTCTACCTCCCCCTACTCCTTTTCCCCTCTTGTAATCACCATGCTGCTGTCTGTGTCTATGAGGGTTTATTTTGTTTTGCTTAATCCCTTCAGTTTCAAAAACTGACTAGGGAGAAGTGGAAAAAATATCATAAACCCCTGGTTTATCATATTGTGTCCATATGACAGTGTTTTATTATTTTATGTTATTTAAAAATATATCTATTTATTTCAGAGAGGAAGGGAGAGGGAGAGAGATAGAAACATCAATGATGAGAGAGAATCATTGATGGGCTGCCGCACACTGGAGATTGAATCCACAACCTATGCATATACCTTTGACAGGAATTGAACCCGGGACCTTTAAGTCTGTAGGCCGATGTTCCATTCACTGAGAGAAACCCACCAGGGCTATGACCATGTTTTAATGATCTTACAGAGACAACTATGATATCACAAGGCTGAAAATTTAATAATAATAAAGTAAGTAAATAAATAAATAATAATTGAGTCCTAGCAGTCAGCCAGGCAATAACAGAGCAAAAGCATGTTTTTTTTGAGTCAACTGATGGAGGAATATCTCAAAATAATTACTTGGGTTCTTTTGTGTAGATACAGGCACAGACTCAGGGAGTGAAAGATTGCTCCAAGCAGGAGAGTGTGTAGAACTGTAGATGTGTAGCATGTGCAGCCCTCCCACATCCTGCCCTCTTCCTTGTAGAATGGAAGAGCTGCTCCCTAGAAATGTAAACATAGGTTTGGTGCTAGGAGAGCAGATGGGTTTAATAAATCCCAGAGTCCCAATTTCTCTGTCCTTTGGGATCTAAGAGTTTAAATTACTATTCTAAATTTGCTCAGTTCCTTCTACTGTCTAATAAAGCTATTTTACTTACTGCTTCCACCAGCTCCACATATCACCACCCTCCCAGTTTTCATCATTTAGGGCCTTCCCACATGCTAGAATAATTAGCAATTTAGTTAAATCACTTGACCAAACAGTGCCCCATTGTGGGGTGAAGGTGGGTAAAAGATCAAATTAGTTATTTAAATAAATCATCTGGTTTCAGATAAACTGCAGACATCAAAACTAGAATCTGCTGTTAGGGGGTGACTTTTTAATTGTTCTTTATTAATTTATTTATTCTTTATAATAATGTGGGCTACGAAAAATGGCCAATCTACACTAATAAAGGAGAAAAATGCTAATTGACCGTACCTTCACTACGCCCATAGCCAATCAGAGTGAGTATGCAAATTAACCCAACAAAGACGATGTTTAATTTTCAAATGCTGAGGGAGGGAGGAGTGAAGACAAAAGACAGCATAGAAGGAAGCGGGAGGGAAAGGGGAAAGCAAGGTGGCTGCTAGAGAGAAAGCGTGGGTGGGGCGGGCAGCGGTGGTGGGTGGGGCGGGGCGGGATGAGGTGGGTGGCAGTGCATGTGATGGCTGCACATGGCCACATAGGCCACTTGCAGGAATCTTCCTGCAACAGGCCCCTAGTGCATAATAACAGAGAGATGAACAATAGTAGGAAGTGAAGACAAGGAGAGCAGACCCAAGGCACCCTGTGGGGAGAGGAGTTGGCACTATTGTGCAGTTCAGATGAAGAGGGACACATGGAGCACAACTCAATTTTTTAAAAAAGGTTTTTGTTAATAGAATTTTTAAAATGTTACCCAAATTTCTAGCAAGTAGAAGAGAAGTGCCATGTGGTCATGTGTATGAGGCAAAGCGTGATTTTGAGGAGTCGTGTTTTCACAGGAATTAAAGCTACAGGAGGTTCCATAGGACCATGTCTATCACTAGATTCCATCACCTCTGCAAACTAGGTCTTTTAAAATTTTCTCTACACATAAAAATTGATTTTACTCATGTAGCACTTGGAATTAAACTTTATTGGCCAATGATTAGTTATAAATACAATACTATCACTTAAGTATACTATATTTCCCACAAAACACTTTCAGCTCCATCATTTATTTCTGCAACCCCAGCAAGACAATCATTTATTTGTTCAGTAAGCACCAGTGTTTGAGGTGCTTAGGTGATGTTGAACATATTGCTGTCAACAGACAAAGACCCCTCCCACAGTGCTTACATTCTACCAAAAAAAAAAAAAAAAAAAAAAAAAAAGGCAAAAGCAACAGAAATGAACTAATAAATAAATAAATAAGACAACAATGTAGCACATTGGAAGATGATAAATAATATATTGGGGAAAATGTCATTTTCCAATATATTATTGGAATATATTTCAATATATTATTGGTGAAGAGCACTGGGAGGGTGGGCCCAGAGTGGATAAAAGCTGTATAGTCAGTCCTCACTAAGGATCTGAGTTGGAGCAGGATTTAAGGATTAAATGGAATAAGTAAAGAAGTTGAAAATCTATTTAAAAGAAATAATGACAGAAAACTTCCCTAACCTGCTGAAGACATACAAGTCCAGGAAGCACAAAGAGTCCCAAACAAGATGAACTCAAAGGCCTACACAAAGACAAAGACAAAGACAAAGACAAAGACAAATGAAAAAGTTTAAAGACAAAGAGAAAACCTTAAAAGCAGCAAGAGAAAAGCAAGGGAGGTCCCAAAAGACTGTTAGCTGGTTTCTAAACAGAAACTTTGCAGGCCAGAAGGAAGTGACATAAAATATTCAAAGTGATGAATAGCAAGGTCCTACCACCAACATTACTCTATCCAGCAAAGCTATTATTTAGAATTAAAGGCCAGATAAAGAGCTTCCCAGACAAGAAAAAGCTAAAGCAGTTCATCACCACCAAACCGGTATTACATGAAATGTTAAAGGATCTTCTTTAAGAAGAACAAGAAAGAAAGAAAAAGATAAATATATGAATAATAAAATGCCAATAAATACATATTTATTAATAATTTAATCTAAAGAACAAAATAAATAAACAAGCAGAACAGAAACAGACTCATAGATACAGAGAACATTTTGATAGTTGCCAGATGGAAGGGGGTCAGGGGAATGGCTGAAAAAGGTGAGGGTATGGGAAAGTACAAATTCATTGCTATAGAATAGTCATGGGGATGTAAAGAACAGCATAAGGAATCTATAATAATAAAAGCATAATATGCTAATTAGATCAGATAGCTGGATGACCTTCCTGATGAAGCTGCGATTACAGGGGCGAGGCAGAGGTGGTAAGGGCGAT